ACTCAAGGCAGCCTTAACTTAAGACTTGCCCAGTGTAATACATTGCATTCCTCGAATACAAAGCCACGAGTCTCGTTAAAACTGCGCTTTAGTACAGCCATCCTTTCATCAGTCTGCATTTTCAAAGTTTCAGATAAAGTAAAGTGGACCTAAAGAAATCCTATCTAAGACGTATAACATCTTTTGCATTACGGTCCAGTCATTTATCACTTTGCTTCGCGGGTCCAGAATGTTGGGACTGTACATCATCCACACTACTGTGCATCGTTAAAGTGGGAAACGAATAGTACATTCTTTCTAATTACATGTTGCAAACGCCAGCCTATATGTCATGCTACGTTTCGTATGTTGTAAAAACGGTTACGGTGGCTAGGCTAGGAATGGGTAGTGTTTTGATGATTGGTATTAATTTTGATAATTGAATCTATGTTATATGGTACATGAACGCGCAGTTCTAAACTTAATATCAGTTTTATCATATTTGGCATATTTCGATAATACTGTAAATGGTAGTAGTAGGTACTCGAATATAGTAATCTTTTCAATACGTCTGTGTGATTATATATTTTAACCCTTTAGTCTAATATTGTTTAAGTGTATAAATGATTCGTAATTCATGTATTATCACCACGATTCAGTCTCCAGACTGCAAGTGTGATATGTCTGTGTGAAATGTCAAATAAACCATTTATTATTAGAAATCGTAGTCAAAAGATGTTGACTTGTTCATGATAATGATAAATGATATTTCAAGCAGCTTTTTGTACGATGTTGATTTGTTTCGGTGCTACATGTTTGTAATACGCCTTCAGAAGTCGTCTATACCAGCAAAGTTATGTGACCTTACCTGCACCCTTTACTGGACTAACATCAACTTCGGCCAGCCTGCAAAATTGCACGGACTTAAAGGTCAGCATGGAAATATCAATTTACCTCCTCAACCTACCGTGCAGCTGCCTAAGCTGTTCATCACATCCACCCAAACCTTCACCTTAGACAACATCCCTTCAGCGGGGTCAATGCCACAGTTGTTTTCATTAGGCATTGGGCCATGTTGATTTGGTTATAGGGATGGCATCCGCGCGCGCATTAATTTTGTCCGTTTTCGACCATACTGTAAATCGTACAAAGCAACTACAAATGCAAGCAAATCGATGTCGTAAATTCGAAAAACAGATAACGACACTAATGTTGTAGAATGCCAAAAACAATTCCAAAGGAAAAGAAGAAAATGTGAAGAAATGAAAATAAAGAGTCTATTATTCGCTAAACCATACTCTGTGTCATTTTTTTCAACCTCCATGACCACGTATATTTCATAATGAAGGCAAACATTTCTATTCGCTCGCATCAGTTTTTGGATTCCCGCCCAGAAGATGCCATCCATATTATCAAATCAACATGGCCTTACAATGGTAATCAACCATAGAAGTAATTGTAGCTGGTTCTGTGGATAACTATTTTTCTGTTAATGGATTGGCAACTTGACAGTGAGCCGCTGCCTTGTCCAGTCCAGATGTTAGGCATTGGTGATTAGTACTTGTCGAAGAGGTTGCAGACAGTAACTATTGTAGGAAATTTGCAGGATGAAAAGAACTATATTCAAAGTAGTCTAACTTTTTCTTGTTGCCAACCCAACGGCTCTACTCTTACGTGAAAACTACTCTGACTCAACTCAGACTTCAGAGATTGGCTACCCCCAAACAGGAACACCTAACGCTAACAAACTGGACACTCGTATTTGTCAAACAACTTGCCACAAAAAAACTCTGCTATACCATACATGGCAAACCTGCTAAACAAATACCCGAGATTACAATCTGTAAATACCGATGCCCCCCCACACACATGTTTGTAAGATTTTATCTAGAGGACTATATAATTCTAACACATTTATAATGACTGTAAACCGAGTTAAATTATCACCTTTGCCTACCTAGCGTTTTTACTGTTAGGTAAGTAAAAGCCTAACAATTCAGACTTAGAGTCTGCAAAAAGATGTATGAATACAACTTCAAGAACTAGAGGTTAAAAATTGAATACTAACAGTCTTATAACAATGTAACTCATTACAAGAAGACTACCACTGTTCGATCCAAGGTTACAAGAAATGTATCACCAGTAGTGACGTCATAACCGTGACGCGCATTCAAATTCAAAAACAGGCCATCGCAGTGTGTTGGCAACGGACACGTTTCAGTTGAAATACAATCAGCTTGTCTAATATCGTATCGTCTGCTGCCCATGGCACCAGCTATTTATATTACGTATCTGTAGAGACCTGGTTGCACGGGTCACGTTACGGATAATTGTGAAGCCTGGAGTCGCTAATGATGAGTTGTGAATGATTTTCTTTAGCGTTCGAACTTCTGGTTAAAAAAAAAACTGCTAGGCTTTGTTACCGACATTGATAATCTGTATGTCGGTCGATATTCTAGTGCATTTATTTTTAAGAGCTTCTACTTTTCAATCAACAGCTCATAACATTTGCTCCATGTAAAAACATTGTTGTCAGATTCCAATCGGTTTTTGTCATATTTTAATATATCAGTTCTATCAGTCTTTGGAAACATTTGGTCACTTTTTCATCATTCAATTACTACATATATGTAACTTCGTGCTTTGCTTGTCCTATAATCTATTATGTATTGTCATATGTGTTGATGGGGGCATGAATATAAGTGTAACTTGAGTGTACCGTCACCATGTTTTGTCAATATCTGTTTCAATAAACTTTTGCCTCTGACCTTCAGTTTGTGCCACCCGGCAGCAAACGTAATTATAGCCATAGTTCCTTGAGAAAATGAGACTGTACAGTATCGGCCTACGCACGGTTTCAGGCAACACAAACACAATCATGGAGAGTGTCCCACTACTGATACACGTGATTGATTTCTGACAAAGAAGGCAGGATAATGACTATTTGGAAAAAAGGACGGTGTTGATTACCAACATTCAATCTACAGAAAGTGTCCAATCAACGGACATCGTGGAAAATGAAGGACGCCCGGAAATGTCAAGCCTTAACAATGGTTAAAAGTAAACACTGTTATCTAGTAGATTCTGTCGGTTTTTAAAGATAGATATCTTGGTATATTTTTGGCCACAAATTGAATAGGTAAATGTTTGAGAAGTCATGTAGGCTAGAGTCACAGATATGATAAGTACGGTATTTGAATTAAAGATGAAATGCCAGACTTTTGTGACCACCATGAATCTAAAGTTACTAGTATATAAGAGCATTTTCCATGGCCTAGCGGAATATATATCAAGCCCTACTATCTAATGGGTACATAAATGAAAGGAAAACAAGACAAGGTTGAAATATCGTGTTCTTTTAGACTGCAATAATATCTGTTGGAAACATGCCAACGTTGCCTTTCAGGTCAGAGCCATACTTTGCGGAATTCGGTACGCAGCTTTGAACCGACGGCCCTAAAAACTTTGACATACGGAAAGGTCGCGCAGACACACGACAGAAGCTATTCAGTTACCTTACTTCTGACCTTAGCAAAACTCTTCAACGCGAACGGCTGGCTAGCTACAGACGTGACCGGCACACAGCACGAGAGGATTCCAGGGTAGGATTTATGCCACATGGTGTGATAACACACGCCGTAACGTCCCGTAAGGACGGTAGAAACGGGGGCTGTTTCTACATAGACAAAGGCCGGGCATAAATCTTCAACAGCACGCACACACAGAAACACAAAGGACAGGCGGAGAGGCAACGGCAGGAAGACAGCTGATATACAGACACACTACGAACACGGCCACAGTACTTTTTAAAAGATGTATAGCCTAACTGAAACTAGATTTATGACTATGAGTGGAAGAAGGCAGAAGAACGATTAATCGAGTTAACAGAACAACGACTAGGACTTACCAGTGACTTACCAAGCACGGCATAATTGTGGACAAGCTTTACGAACAGTTAATAACTGCGTGTACCACGTAGTCGCAAGAATTCAAATGATTATCATTATTATTATTATTACAATTTAGAGACATTAGAAATCTCACGGTTGATGCAGGGTGGTAATGACCGCTGCTGGATTTACTAAATGTTTAAACTTCCGTCAAATATACGTTCTGAACAACTTCATGTAAAGGATATCAAAGATAGTCATACACAACCAGACGGCAATTATACCAACGTTTCGGTAGACCTTTTTAGGACAGTAAGGAGGAAAGTAAGAGGGGGACTCTTTAACCCTCTCCCTGCTGCCTAACCCCATAATCAATGGAAACCTGGTAGTCAAACAGCTACATCATGTACTTTTAGTCTGTTAAGGGTTAAACGTTGGTATGCAATTATTGCTCTTCGGTTGTACATGAGATCTTTGATAACCATTGGTGAAATGGATCTATGGAGGGCCCACCTTCTTTGTATTTTCTTATTTCTTCCTTTCTCTCTCTCTCTCTCTTTCTTTATTCTTTCTTTCGAGGAATTTTTGTTGTTTTCCATATTTCGTCCAATCTGCTAAAACTAGTCTAAGAGAGGGCCCCCCTTCCTTGTATTTTCTATTTCTATATCTCTTTCTTCATTCTGTATTTCTTTCGAGGAATTTCGTGTTTTTTTTCTATTTCGTAGGGTCAATTCTTCCAAACAAAGTTCTGTGTTAAAACGTTCTATAGTTGCCAATGCCAAAATCAAACAAAGCAACAAAAGTATGATCCATTGCCAGCACGTACCAAACGTTAACAACATAATTCCCTACCATATGTTATCTTTTAAATAACAGCATGTAGATAATAATTGGAATCCTTTGAATATGAATTGCCAACTTTTATTCCTTTTTTGTAAGCTTTTTGACAGGTTTTATATGTAATTTTATTTGTATATGTACATGTACATGAGAACTCGCAATTCAGCTTACGAGTTACTCAGAGTTTGAAAGGAATGATAAATAGAATCATCTGCTTGATCCAATGAAGTCCCAAGTGTATGTGTGCTGTGGAGTATGCATGCTGACGGTTTGCACCCTTGCTGTACTCACGTGTGACAAGTTGGACTGTTTGCCCATGTCTGCTTGTTTGGGGACAGTGGAGGAGAACTGGACCAGGACAGACCTGCTGCGGGTCACTGACCTCGCCAGGCGAGCGAACTTGCTCATTCCTGCGGGGGCGGCTGGAAAAAAAAACAGGCATCAAGAACAAGGTTAAGGTTGGTCGGTGAAGGTTAGGTAATATCCAGGAAATAAGATACGCCAAAAACAGTTACTGGATGTTACAAGTGACTGGATATGGTTTTGAAAAGTAAAACGTCTGGCCGTTTCCAGAGTTATACAGTTGCTTGAGTAACTGTTTCTTTGGTTAAGGTTGTGTAATAACAACACATTGATCACCAAGGTTGTCAATGTCGTATCCAATTATCTAAAATTAGGCTAAAATTAGTCATCGCTAGATAGAGTTGCTCACATCTGTGTCTTTTGCTTTTTTTTCCAAAATCATATCCAGTTGCTTCAGTAATTGTATTTTAGAGTCAGATAGTCTATGTGTATCCTCGAATGTAGATTTGCCCCAGACACGATTCTGAGCTTGGTTCTGGATGAAGAATTCGAACGGTTCTGTATACACAGTCATCTGGTATCATCCCGTTACTTAAGGGTCCACCTTTCGTGTGTCCAGAAACAGAAATATTTTGATTTTGACCAAAGCAGATATTGTTGATACAAAACGATTTACACTTGACTGAACCTGCCTACCATTCAATCTCACAACATAAAATTATCGAGTATCACAGCCTAACCTTTTTAAAGTTGTAATCCTATTCATTATAGTACTCGTATTTGTCTTTCTTAATTATATTTTCTTTCTGTGCTAAGGATAAAATTTGACATCGCTAGAGTGCCTTATACTTTGATTTTGATCAATATTAATAAATATATGTGACTTAAAAAAAGCTTAAAACATTGTAATATTTGTCATGATAATGTTTTATTTCAAAACTGAGTGTTATGATTTTAGAATCTGTACAGCTGTTCCGGACCCTCCATATTGACTTTAAAACTCTTCCAAATTGAAGTCAATGTGACACGACGATACGTCTTACACTGACGGTTAATTGGTTAATGGAACATGATTGAAATTCCCCTGTGTCTCAGCTCAAAGGACGGCGTCAACTATACACTTTCCAGTCAGGGCAATGCACTGGTAAGGCCACACCAAGTAATTTTTATGATGACGTCCTCTGGGGACTCTAAATCTAATGCGAGAGCGCGAAAAATAACAAGAAGGACCAAAAGAAACAAGATGCCTAGATTTGAAATATACTAAGGGACGACAAATGTTAGGACACACATTGAATGAGAGAACACAGTATAAAAACCAACAAGTCTTTTAATCGTCATGAAAACAGCAATAAATCAGTGGAACAGCAGTTGTCGCCCTGTCCTGTTTCTTTCCTTTCATCACAGCTTCCCTTTTCCCACTGACGTGACTCTTTGACCATAGTTAACATGAAGTGGAAGTGTTTTTTGTTCATGGGAACAGGCCAAAATCAATGCGCGCGCGGACGTCATCCATACAAATTACTTGGTGTGGCCTAATATGATTAAGCGTCCGGTCTCCTCTACCGGTCTGCCTCCCATACATCAGTCACGTCAACACCGTCCGTCTCCATGGCAACGGTCTGATGAAACTGATTAAATTACTCTCTAAGTACTGATTACAGTCATTAACCTTCACGGGTGAGACGGCGACGTGTTTTGTGTTGAAGGCACTTTAATCAGGGGAAGGTGTACATTTCAAAATGATTTTTCTAAAGCGTTTGGCACAGGGGATTTGTCAAGGTGGTCAAGGTTGATTTGTTTTTCATGTTTTATACTTGATACCTACATGTTGTAGGTAGCATGTCGGCAGAACGTACAACAAAATCCGGAGTTTTCAGGGTTTTGTTGGATGTTTCTTCAACGTTGCATCAGAATTTTTCCCGACGCAGACATTTCTTTCAACACAACATTTGAAAGCTATTTTTGTTTCAAATCAAATTCATGAGTAAACTTTCTCATATCAACTAATTTGGCAGTTGTGCAAAATAAATTTTCTACAGCTACATGGTTCCGTTGTAAATGTATAAATATACATATAAACTCAACATACAGGTAGCAATGTATAGAATATCAGATGCCCTGGATTTCCACATACGTGATTTTGTATTTTCAAGAATGTATATATTTATTCGTGAAGATTCCAAATAGTAAGCATAGAAACCCTGGGTTTCTTGATACCTTATATTTATTGCTACCTGTCTATCTGTCCTTGAGTTGCCATTCTATTTTCCCAGGGGATTTTTACTCAAATGTCAGTGTCTTTTATTTCATTCCTACGCTGTTCTCGGCATAGTAAAACACTGTTATTTATAGAACCTGTTACTTGCTTCAACCGACATGCTCAATCCTTGGAGATAAATTTTTGGATCTCGCTGCAGTTGTTGTATTGGGCCTGGGAAAAATGTTGTGTTTCCTGTTTCAGTCTTGAAAAAAATTAGGTTGCTTTTTAAATTGGTTGGTTGGTTGGCTGGTTGGCTGGTTGGCTGGCTGGCTGGCTGGCTGGCTGGCTGGCTGGCTGACTGGCTGGTTGGTTGGTTGGTTGGTTGGTTGGTTGGTTGGTTGGTTGGTTGGTTGGTTGGTTGGTTGGTTGGTTGGTTGGTTGGTTGGTTGGTTGGTTGGTTGGTTGGTTGGTTGGGTACGTTGGAATTATCTTCTTATTTTTTCTCTTTTTAGACTTTGGCAATCTCTAGTACTAGTGATCCAACTTACACCAAGGAACCCATTGCTTATACAATACAGTTTAACGAAGTAAAACTTGCACGAGGACACTTATAAGTTCAATGTCAATGTTAGAAAACTGATTGTACAATGTTTCATCACTTAGGTATCAGCTCATGGAGCTAGAAATGGTTGATTAGCTCAAGAAATTTGTCCACACACACAAAAAGGCTAGGGTGGGCAGTTTTTTGTAGCGTCGGTCGGGAAACAGGAAACACAACATTTTTTTCCTAGGCCTGACTGTCCTTGGCCTACCTTAGGCACACCTGACAGAGACAGATGTAGAAGCTTAGTGTCCAGGCTTGCTTTTAAGGGATGACGTAACGTCCATATCTTGGGCTTTAAAAACTTGAGGTTCAACATAACATGTTGTTGCTTTTTCCTGGTAAGTGTAACGTAAGCCAGTTGGCGAAAGGACATTCGATCCGGTATGCTGCCGTTTTCTTACCAGTTATATATGGTGTAAGAAGAAGATATATTGTGTCAAACGCGTTGGACATATTAATGAGATATGGCCTCCAACAGGCCTTCCTAATGCCCCTGTCACACGCCGAATGTAGCCTCGCGAACACTGCCATGGTTCGGACTAGGTGGGGAGCAAGGTCGGCTGTGGTTGGCTGGTGGTCGGTGATTTCAGGCTATTGTTCGGCTGCGCCAGCCGAATGTTTAAAACATTCAGGAGTGGGCGGGAGGTTCAGCCATGGTTGGCTCTTGGTTGGCTGGTATTAGAGAGTAAGACTGCTCCCGAACTTCAGCCTACCAATTTTCACTTCGCAAAGTTTTGTCCCTATTTTGCTAGATCTCACTATTTTCTAGTATAGTAGTAAGATTATATCAGTGAGTTATAGATCACCCTGGGCAACCGACCGATACGCTGCAAATCAATGTACAGATTGTGTAGAGTGGGTCAACAGAAATTCAGACTGACAGTCTCTAACAAAATACTTTTAACACTGAACACTCTCTGGTACCTCCAATACAGCTGGGGGGAGGTGTATTCACTGATCTGTAGTTCCCTAGCTCATTGCGGTCATTGACTCATAACCCTTCATTCTACCGCACTAAATAGGGAGCTTAGAAATCGATAAGTTGCGGACGAGAGACGACGATGTGACTGAGACTGCTGTCTTGGCCAGTTTCATGTCCAGTCTATCAAGGTTTGCCGCTCTACTGGCTCTCACAGCAGGCAAGATACTGAGGCACGAGCGATTCTGAGGGTGGATGATGGACGTGTGTTAAGCAGATAAACTGGAGTGGGAGGGGGGCAAATCAGCTATAGAAACAGATACGATTTTCTGTCAGTGTGAAAAATGTCGATCGCAGCTTTCTACAGTCCAAACAACCTTGCTAAAGTCGGCCAGAGTTGGGTTTTTTTTAGAGACGGCCAGTGATATATCGATGTATGTTAAACTGAAGTGGGAGGGGGGCAAATCAGCTATAGAAACAGATAAGGGTTTCTGTCAGTGTGAGAAAATGTAGACTGAAGCAACCTTGGTAAAGTCGGCCAAGGTTGTTCGTTTTGAGAGGATGCCAGAGAAAGGTTGATGTGCCGGTATGTTAAACTTAGAGTGGGAGGGGGGCAAATCAGCTATAGAAAGAGACACGGGTTTCTGTCAGTGTGAAAAATGACTAGACTGAAGCATCCTACAGGTCAAAACAACCTTGCTAGCTATAAAGTCGGCCAGAGTTCTGCGTTTTGAGAGGATGCCAGTTCGATGTTCCGGTAAAACTGGAGTGGGAGGGGGGCAAATCAGCTATAGAAGAAGATGCGATTTTCTGTCAGTCTGAAAAATGTAGATCCTAGCTTCATACAACTGAAACAACTTTGCTATAAAGTCGACCAGCGTTCGTTAGAGAGGATGCCAGTGAGAGATCGATGTTCCGTTATGTCAAAGGTCACAGCCAGTTGTATCCAGCGGCGACCTCAGGGTGGCTGGGGCCTCAGATTGCCTCATCTGTCACAACAGGTAGTTGGTTGTTTTCATGTCATCTTCATTTTTCATCCTTGTTTTTTTTTTCTTTGAGGGAGGGGAGGGGAGTGATCTTGATCCAGTTTAAGCTCACTGAATAGTTACTCCCCCAATGGTCGACAGACAGGCGCTTTGTACAGTATGTATTTACAGGTTCATTGTACTGGGGAAATTGCCCTAGCTCTTTTTGATAAGCACAATGAACAATGGACCACGATTTAATGTCCCGTCCTACGGACTGCAACCCCTTCCAGTAGCGTACATGTCGGGTGAGCGTCAACAGCCTGGATTCGAACTCCCAACCTCTTTGTCCTGAGGCAGTGGTCACTAACTGTGGACTACGCAAGCTACTGTGCAATCAAGGAGGGGGGACTGTGTCCTACTCTCTAAGAATTTCTGACCTCCATGATGTTTTTTTTTTAATTCTATGAATTGCACAACAAATTCCTGGTAACTCGACCTTTTCAAATCTCATAGACTAGACCACTGACTCGGAAATAATCGTGTCTTAAAGCAGCGCAGTACACTCACCACCTCAACCCTATTCCTGCACTTGTGTCCTTCAAAAGCTGATTATTCTCGCTCTGGTGGCAGTAGATAGAAAGGGTGGTTGTACATAAAGCTATTCTTTTGTTAGGTGTTGTATTTAAGATTTGTTTGGTTCACCACGTTCGTTCGTACACGGTCACCATTTGCAAAGTAAATTCCTCGGCAAAACTACACCCAAAGAAAAGGATAACTCGGGGCCAAAGTGCAATGCGTTTGGTTCAAGGAACTAACTGATCGTTCAGTTCAACAACCTCATCGTTCAGTCCGAGGACCTGGCCTACCAAGGGGTTCAGCGAATTCACGTCACATCATCAAGAAAGGGCAGACCAACATTAACATTTCAGGTCATGTCTGCAGACTTAACCCATAAATTGCATGTCGTTGACCGGGTTGCCCCCATGCATTATATTACTTGATTATTTCTAAAAAAAGAAGCCTTGTTACGTTGCCTTCCATCAAATGTTGATGCTGACTTTCTACGCAAATATTCTAACCGATATGTTGATTTCAATCCTTGTCGCAGTCAGCCATCGAGGACTAGTTCTGGGCTGTTGTGACCTATTCTCGACAGTAGGGGGCGCTGCAATTTGAGAATACTAGTATGTCAGATCTCCCAACCCCCATCTCAATTTTCCTGCGATTGGGGTCTGTAGCAATGAACCAGTGTGACTTACCGTTGGCCTCGGCGTCGTCTATTGGTTGCTTCAGAAGAGTAATATCCTTGAAGGTACAGAGGAACAGGACCACCTTGTCCTTTTCGTTTTTGATGGGGGCCACGTGGAGCAGAAACCATAGTGGCGTTCCTATGTGGGACACAACGTGCAGTATTGTCAATGCTTTGCCAGAACTGGTGCATATTACAACTAGAAAGGTAACATTGGAAAGCAAATGTTTATACATATGTAAGATGAACATCCCCTTGCTACATAATGTATTCCAACATCACATGGTGTCTGCTACAGCACCAGTTACCATGGTAACAGCTGTCTGGTCCAGGTCATTGACAATGACAGTAAATGAAAGTCAAGACCGATCATTTCATTTACAACCATTATAAAGTCAAAATTACTGGACTTGACTTATTTACTACTATTGTAAAGTCTGGTACTGCTTACGCAGTAAACATCACCAGTTTTTACTGGCATTTACTACCATTGGTAAATTCAACGTTTCGTGCAGTGAGCATCAGTCTCTATACGACCGTTGTATTCTATTATATAGTCCATTTATCGCGGTGTGGGGAACAGAAAGCCGGGACGACGCCAAAAGAATCATCCGCGGTTGATTCCATTTTCTGTGGCACATGCAGCAAGATAACCATGTCTGGAAACTCAATCCGCCAGGATGGGGAAAAATCACATCAAAAGGCCAGACAGTGATCTAGAATTGTCTTGTCGTGCAGCCCGGTACATGTGGAATTTTACTCCATATGATTACAGATAGCTCTCTAAGGCCTCACCAAGTAATGTTTATGGATGACGTCCTCTAAAGACCCTAATGTAAAGATCTAATGTGAAGATCTAATGTGAGAGCCACAAAAAACAAGAAGGGCCGAAAAAAGCAAGATGCCTAGATTTGAAATATACTAAGAGACGACAAATGTTAGGACACAAATTGCATGAGAGAACGCAGTGTACACCTACACCACAACCAACGAGTCTTTTATTCGTCATGAAAACAGCAATAAATCAGTGGAACAGCAGCTGTCGTCCTGTCCTGTTTCTTTCCTTTAATCACATCTTCCCTTATCCCACTGTCGTGACTGTTTGATCATCATTACAAGAAAGGGAATTTCTTGTTTATTTTCTGGTAACATGCCAAAATCAATGCGCGCGCGGACATCATCCATAAAATTACTTTGCTTGGCCTATAGGGTAACACATTGAGGTATGAGGACAACGTACTGTTTTTCTTGTACATGAGAATTTCCACTTGTGCGGTGTCCTGAACCTCCAACGTCTCCTCGATCTTTTTGACGGTTTCCTTGTCCGTGAGTTCTCCGTGCATAAATCTGTTCAGAGAGAGAGAGAGAGGGATAGAAAGACAGGGAGAACATTACAAAATGTCCACACAAAATCCAGGGTAAGAAGGAAAAACATGTTGCAGGTGTTGAAGGCACCTGTAGTTAAACTAATTATCAGCAGCCAATCAGCAAGAAGGACAGAGCCTGTAGCCATGCATATAGCATGCTGCATGCCTATTGGCCTTGTACACTCCGAGTGATACAGTACATCTGGACATAAAAACATTAAAGAAATCCCAAATTTTATCATTTTAATGGTATGGATGCCAAACGTTATAATGAATTGTTGTTGGTAGATATATAAAGCACTCCCTTACCAAATATTAGACCATTTGGCTGTCAGACCAAGCCTTCAGGCCCCCAAATGTACATGTGTTTTGTCGGAAAATGACAACAAACCAAACAAATAAAACCATTCTAAAAGCCTGTATTTAAAAAAGCGCCTGAGGGAATTCATCCACTCCACCTTCATACCAAATTTCAGGTCATTTGGCACAAAAAAGAAGAAATCCATTAAAGAAATGACAGGAGAAGGAGAAGGAAGAAGAAACATGAGAAAAAACAATATGTATAGACTGAAATAATAACGACAAAATAAGAATAAGTCAACTCACCTGCACGTGCAGCTCTTCTGCATGACCTCAGCACGAGAATATCCGGACAGTTTGGAGAAGCCTTCATTGCAGTACACTATAGGCCAGTCCACGATAGAAGCATTTGCCAACAAGAAGCTGCTATCTGCAAAGACAGAACAAAATCACATTGGAAACTCATCAATGTCAACCTTTAGTAGCCTTGTTTCCCAACAAACCACCTTTATAGAGAAACCAGGTTTCTGTTGGCTGCTCCCTTCTTACAAATTTCTTTTGTTTTTAAATCTGTTTAGTCCAATAGTTGAAATGATATACTAGAAAGGTAACATTTGCAAATGCATAATGTTTACCTTCGCATAGGTCTGCTCTGTTCATTCTTACTCAAACACATTCATGTAAATGGTCAGACATGAGTGTAAATCCCTCCTGCTATAAAATTGCAACATGATGTGACCCAACACCAGTTACCATGGCGCCAGCCGTCTGGTTCCAGGTCATTGACCTTTTTGGTTTGGAGAAGAAGACGAAGAAGAGGAAATTGAGCAAAAACTTCCGAATCGGTAAACATAAAAATTGTTGGTGGAATTACAATGAGATATTCTCTTCACAATGGCCCACCGTTCAGTTCACTTTCCGACCGAGCGAATGTTGGACGCCGCCGGTCAGTTATATAATTGACTTTGAGATTCTTAGAATCCCGCCGTATTCTTGGAAATCCGCGTGTAATTTTTTGTTGGAGACAGCTGCAGCCATTAGTAGACTGTACGCATGGCCGAATCTTATAACATTGACGCACCTTTTCGACGTAACACTTGTAGAGGGGGGGTATCAATACAGCTTATACAAGTATATACTGCACGTAATGGCCAACTGTCTACTAGTATCACTCTCAAACATGTTTAGTTTAGTTTTCAGTGTGGCTACGCGTTGTAACGTCACCCCTAATGTGGATACCATATCTGAATACTAGTATCAAATCCGTATTCTTATATCCTATTTTAAAAATTTTGACTTTGAGCTCGAATTCGACTTGTAAAAGAACCGTACCATCCTGTTGTTGCACAGTAAGGTCATAGTCTTTTGGCGGACTAAGCAGAATAGGCTGGCAGATGTTTCAATAGCTATATATAGCATAAGCATGTAGCTACAAAATTGCAGGGTGACATAGATACATAAATCAACGACAAATGGTGTGCAAAATGTGCAGTCTAGGAGGCATGTACGTAGTAAGAGGATAGTCCTTAATTAACTTCATTAGCCTGAAGCACACTTAATTAGGTTACATCATCGCCAACTAGCTCTCCAAAACCGCCTCTTTTAGTTGAGTCAACGAATGGGGCACTAAAGACGGCGAAACGAGTGCACTTCTTAAACACGTGAAGTTCATTTCGCCCTGCCAATTATTTCAACCAGCTGTTCAAAACCTCGCTGAAGTAGCAGTCCAAGCGCAGAATATGACGCAGTGCGAGCCGTCGTCGGTGGAACCCCTCATTGAACTGTTCTGTCAGGAACTGTCCAAGTACACGTACCCCGACGTGTGGACTGTTAAGTGAAATCTGACGTACAGATCTGAAGTTAATTTTAATCGAATAATGTACATGACGTGAACCGTATATGGTGTGGCTGCGACTTTGATCTAGACCTAGAAGATGGAACTAGAAATGTACCGTTTGCAAAGTAAATGCATAACGTTAACCTAACCTTCACATTCAAACTCATTCAAATATATGATGACCAGCCCCTCCAACTCTGTCATACCACTTGCTACATAATGTAACCCAACAGGCTGTCTTCTACCGCACCAGTTACCATGGTGACAGCTGTTCGGTCATTATTTGTTTGAAAGAAGAAGAAAAAAAAACAGGGCGAAAAAATACGTTTTCCTTCTTGGAAAGTAAGCATTAGTATCAAGCTAGGGTTAAACAAACCCAAATCAAGTGATGCTTACAAACATTGACGTAGATTTCGTGTTCGTTATGTAACTGACATTTAGTAGTGCGTATCTCATTAGGACAGGTATGACGTGAATTGTGATATTTTAAACCCGGAAACAACAGATTCACGTAACTCCGTGATTAAGAATAAGGGTCCGGATGTATGCGTCCATCAGATATTGTTTGTGAGGACCTACAAGAATGGCATACATTGTAATGAACACTAATTGATATGTTGTAATCTATTTATAAATTGCTAGTTACATATACTTGTAATGCTGTTGAAAATCTGTTGATTTATCGCAAGCTATGAGCTACGTTATAATTTGTGTGGGTATTTATCACTGCAATATTTGATATGTTATAGTCTTAGCACAACAGCATTGCCTGTTTGATAATTCACTAACACAATGTCGTAAATTCACGTGGTAACTCTACATTACACAAAATACCAACATTCATCAGAATATCCATTGTCAAAATATCAGACTGTTCGGAGTTTATTGATGTATTACTTCAGCAAAACGTATAACTACTTTGTTATTAGAATGTTGGGTACGTAGTAAGGTCGATGTATGATTTATCTTTACAATGTGGCTATGCAAGGATAAATCTTTATACACAATATCGTGATGTGGGATGTACCTTACGATGTGTACTATATCATCAAAGAAACTGGGCGTAGAATAATGTATCACTAATATGTCGAGACATGTGTACTAGTTATTGTGAACAATATATATCGTTGCTGTGCGGCGGTTGGATCTCAGTAAGTCCTGTAAATGTAGGATTTCTTTACATTATTGTTTGTATAACGACGATATCACAATATGGTAGGTGTTGCAACTAGATGATAAATGGCTGGTTTTACATTAAAAAGTTTCTACTGCAGTGCCAGTAATACAGTAATGTGTCATTCTGCCCCACAGCGAAATCTCACTCGGGTATAAGGAGTTATAAAGGAAATATAAAGAGGCTTTGAGTCAGCTTTCCTTTGCGTACGCGTGTGCAGGCTTTTATATCTACCTATCCACCATACCTAAGGCTAGACTTAGATCCAGGAACCCCATAAATAAACCATTTCCTCTATCCGAACGTTATCTGGCTGTTTGGCCTGACCTAGATTTACCGTGCACTAATACTAGGGACGACAGTCGGGTCGGCATTTCATCATATAGTACAGCGACCGCAACAGAGGCGACTGACTTAAAGCGAGATTTTGACAGTAGGTATAATTACAGTTTAGATGGCTGCAAATGTTAACGTTACAGCAGGAATTAGAGGGATTGCCTGGCCAATGTTTTGCTGGTAGCTATGGTATATGCCGTGTAATCATAAGACAAGGAACATATTGACAGACAGTATACAAAGGGGTTGTTAAACTATGCCTAAGATACCGGATTCTACAAGAATGCAGTCCTAATATTTATACACAATAAAAGAAACGTTTTATACGAAGAAGTATTGAAACACATTTGATGCTTTCCACGTACTCCCGGTCAAACTATCTTCAGATTTATTCCTGGAATTTGAGTCATTGAGGAGTTAGGTACTAGGTTGGCTGTAAAAAAAGGGCAGAGGCAGTAGATGGGGATTTCCTGTTTCATAACTGACGATGGCGTCTTCTAAAAAGTGTTTCAAACATTTGTCATCTCTTAAATACCTGTACTCAAAGACGGGCGATGATCTGATACTTTATCTTCCTGACCAACATCCACAAGGGTTGACTCAGAGTTCCTCAACTTTCCCGGAGTCTGTTTATACATTAGGATTCGTGCTTCAGCGAAGGGCTTGGGAAACGATAGCATCTATATCGCTTCCGGGGAATGGCTGCAAAATGCACTTAGATATGTCGGATGGAAACGTTTTCCTTTTTATCTCGATCCTTCCGCCGTGGCTGGGAGCGCTCGGATTGCTCCGTGATGGGTCCATCTGTGTCCCGAACGTTTCGATTAAGATATGTCTGGCAGCTGCTTTTTCTGGAAATGGGACCGAGTGCTGGCGCGGTCTTAAATCAAGTGGCACTTTCGCCGACTGTCACTATCCTGGGTTTATGGGGGTCCGTCTGTGTTCCGAGGCAAGATGTGGGGATACGTGTGATAGACCCACAGAAAATACACTTTCGCTGCTTTTATGACAGAAATGTGTATGTTAACAAGTCGTTTTTACACTGCCATATGCTCGTCGTGTAGTTTGACAAAGTGCAAGAGATGTTGCAAGAATGCACTCTAAAATTGTAAATGGCATTGCGAAAGACTGGCATACATCCATTTTTAGGACAGAAATCTATCAAGTCTCCATAACTTATGCTGTGGTATAACGTACGATTTAAGTAGCACGTCGGCAGTACGACTCATGCAGTTAAGGTCATGGTCGTGCCCGCGTATTTAAGGCTAACATTCCGTCTATAGTTTTCAAATGTTGTGTCGGGAAAAGATATTGTCTGCAACGGGCAAAATTCTGATGCAACGTTGACTAAATATCCAGCGAAAACCGTAAAAATAATCCAGGTTTCACACGGGCGCAGATTTTACCAAAATATTTTTCTTTTTTATTTCTTTTGCACACAAAACAGCGACCTTTTTAAAGTTTACAGAAGCCAAGCGTTCGGCCTCTGAAATACACTGTGTCTTGCATGTGCGCCATACCTTTACAGGTGGCCTGGCTTACGGCTTTCCTTCTAGAATAAACAACGGCAACCTGAAATGTTGATGGACTATCTAGCTTTTAGTGGGCAACCTGAGAAAAAAGTATTTGTTTCTCGTTCCATAAATCTTTTATATTTCAATTTTTAAAATTTGAAATATATTTCTTCACTGATGACGAGTGTCGGACAGACACTTGACACTGATAAAAAAATCTTATATCCAGTGGCAAAGTTTGAAACGCTATTTTATTCATATAACCCTGGATAACTAATCTTCGCAAACGTATGGAGATAGAATGGACGACAGGAACTGTCACGCCATTTCATTTCGACGTGGAAAAGAAAAATGTTCAATTGCGCGGAAGACGCGCTGGCTATCCGTTATCCAATCCATTACGATGCACGTACGCTCTGTCAGAAATTAACCAACCGACTTTTTGGCGTGGGCGTCACAAAAATGTGTCTCATTCCCCAGTGGGCCATCATCTCGTTTGGGACAGAGTAGGTAATCCCGAATGGCCTGTCGTAACATTCAATCATGATGCTCGCTAGCTAACGAGATTT